AAATTGAATGAAAACCTTCTCGAAATTGTCTCGTTTCTTAAAAAATTATAGGCTCCGCCCCGACCCCCAAACCCCGGCAGGGGCGCGCTGCCCCCCTATAACCCCCAGCCAAAGCTGTGTTTGAGATTATGTCAGATCCCATAAAATTTAACTCTGATACCATGTTAAATAATCCAAAGAAATAAAGAAAATGAGGATATGGTTTCATTGATTCTACATAATGCAATTGAATAAGAAAAACATAATTTAACCTAAATACAAAGAGATTATATATAGGCTAGACAAAGGAAACTGAAAAAAATATTCTACCCTTAATAAATAATAAAACAAAAATAATCATTTATTTCTTAACGGGAACAATTAAGGTCAAGTCCAACACTCAATACATTAGCCTCTTAACTGTTTGAAAGTATGACAACGAGAGAGAGTGAGGAAAAAAAAACTAAGAAACTTGTACTTACTCGAGTGAGTGAAAATGGTGGTTTTGTTGTCACTGATAGTGACAGAGCTGCAGTGACTTTGAATATGAACACGGATAATTAATTGGCTTCTTTGATTGTTCGTTGGATTGACGAATGTACGGTGGAAAGCGAAACTAGTGAAAAGGAAAGCGGCAAAATAGCTCGTCGTAAAATTGATCGGTAAAGTCCGATAATCGCCGGCGAGATTTAGCCGGCTTGCATTCATGGTAATGAAGTTAGCCTTTGCAGTGGTCGGTCTTGGATAAGCTCAACCCGCTGAGTCACACCGTGCTAGTTATGCAAGTGAGTCCATTTTTAAGGAAAAAATATTTTAAATTTAGTCCTTTCAAAAAAATTTGTTTCTCTTACTCATTTTCAACCACACGTTCACGTAATAAAATATTTTACCCATAAATTCAAAAAAAAATTCTACTTTTTAACCACATATTCTTTAAAAAATCACTATTCAAATATCTTTTTTCCTCAATTTCTTATAACAACTGTCTAACATGGACTCATTTTCTTTTTATCTATTACTTTAGTTTTTAGATTTATGATTTTTTATTGAATGAATCTAGATGTGCATTTTTTGTTGTCATTGAGAGTCTTTGTGCCACATTTTTTCCCAGAATGCATTTTCTAATAGTATTTTTATGGAGAATGTATAGTTAAAAAATAAGAAGAAGTTTTGAGTTCGTGTGTAATATTATTTTATTGAAAAATGTATAGTTGAAAGTAAGAGGAAAAAAATGTATTTTAGAAATAATGTTGAACCAAACAAGGGCTAAAAATGACATTTCTTCCAATTATCAAAATTTGGCCAATAATATGAAAGGATGTAAAAATCAATGGAGTTGTGCGATATGTACATCATCATTTACATAATATTTTATGAGCATATAATATGGTGAGATTTAATTGAATCAAAATTTCATCAATTAAATAACTTTTCTACTTACATTTTGATACCACATCATTATGTAAAACATTCTACACGAGAAACACTATTCAAATCATTGACTATGATAGATAACATGTCAAAAAATGTCAAACTCACTGTAAAAATTAATGTACATGTAGCATGTTTCTTTCTTATTTAGCTTATGTTTGAGCCTCGTCCTTTTGTTGAAAATAAGTTTATAAAAGTGAATTTTTTAAGAATATGTACTTTTAAAATGGATAAGAAAAATTTGAACTTAAGACATTGTTCGATCCCTATTTTTTCAAAATATATTTTTTTATCTTATTTTTAATCACATATTTTTAATAAAATAATATTACACCTAACCTGAAATTTTTTCCTTCATTTTTAATCACATATTTTTTTATCAATTTATTATTTCAAAATACATTCTACACAAAAATGAGTCTCAAACAGACGTAAAATATTTTATTAAAAGAATGCGTAGTTTTCAAGTTTTTTTAAAAAAATTGAATTTAAATGTAAAATATTTTATTAAATGAATGCATACATAAAAATGAATTTAAAATAAAATAATTTTTAGATTTATTTTATTATTAATTGTAATTCAAGCTCTCATTTGAATCAGATTGAAATTTTCATTCTCATTCTTCTACTCATTTTCAATCACACGTTCTTCAATAAAATAATATTTTTCATTACATCAATAATTTTCCCTTCTTTTTCAACTACACATTATCCATCAATCTATATTCCAAAATCCAGCTCAAACATTTCATACTGTTACGTGGTAAACAATGCAACCACAAATAGAGCAGCCGTTCATTCCTATACCCAAATCGAAAGCAATCGCCGACCTAA